GGAAAGGAAAGGAAAGGAAAGGAAAGGAAAGGAAAGGAAAGGAAAGGGGAGGGAAGGAAAGGAAAGGGGAGGGAAGGGGAGGGAAAGGAAAGGTAAGGAAAAGGGGAAGAAGAGGAGGAGAAGGAGAAGTCTCAAGCTAGTGAGACACGTCAGCAAGTAAAAGAACTTTAACCTTTCCTTTCAACTGAGTTAAATTTCAGAATACATTTGGTAGAAGGAAAGAAATGACTCAGAGACGTTGTCCTCTGACCTCTACATATGTACTGTGGCAAACACATGCTCACAACCACATAAAGTAAACAAATAAATAAATGTAACTTAAATTTAATTTTTTGTTTTGTGTTTTTGAAACAGTCTTTCTTCATAGCCCTGGTGCCCTGGAACTTACTCTATAGACCAGGCTGGCCTTGAACACCTGCCTCTGCCTCCCAAGTGCTGGTATTAAAGGTATGTGCCACCATGACTGCTTTAAATTTTTTTTAGAGAAATCAGTCCTATCACGGAGCTCACACTCATTGCACTATTGGGATGTCTCTGTTCCTACACAGTGTCCTAGAAGTGTCTATGCCTGCAAATAGTGGCTGTCTGGAGAGTTTGTACTCCAGGCCAGCTCCAACCTTCACCAGTCGGGAACTCTTCAAATCTCTAGCGTCTTCATCTAGAAGGACTTGACTGGATAAGCAGAATGGTTCCTTCCAACATAAAAATATCTATAATAAATGACACACACTGTAAGTATCATTGATCACAGGCTTCATTTTAATAAAGTACAATGAACTTCATCTAACATCATCAGTCATGTGGACATCATGAATCCCATCTCAGTTCCATAGGGTTCCTTATAATCATCAAATAAGGGGCTGGAAAGATGGTTCAGTGTTGCTTTGTTCTTCTAGAGGACCCAAGTTCAATTTCAAACAACCACATGGTGGTTTATGACCATTTATAGTGGATCTGATGCCCTCTTCTGGTGTGCAGGTATACACGCAGACAAAATACTCATACATAAACAAACAAACAAACAAACAAAGAAGCCGGGTGGTGGTAGTGGTGCATGCCTTTAATCACAGCACAGGCAGTGGCAGGCAATCTCTTTGAGTTCAAGATCAGCCTGGAATACAGAGTGAGTTCTGGACAGCCAAAGCTACACAGAGAAATCCTGTCTCGAAAATCCAAAAAAAAAAAAAAAGGAAAAAAAAAATCAGACAAATCCAGATTATAGGATATAAGATACCTGACCAGTATCCTCCCCAAAAGGAATAAAAGATTAAAAAAAAAAAAAAAGGAAATCACAGGGTCTCTTTTTTGACAGAGGGTCTCTCTGTAGCCCTAGCTGTCCTAAAACTCACTATGTAAAGACCAGGTTGTCCTGAACCTACAGAGATCTGTGTGTGCCTCTGCCTCCATGCCAGGAGTAAGGACATGCACCTTGATTCCCATTCCTACTTATTTTTAATTTCTATTTATGTGGTGTGCATGTGCAGCAGGGGGGACATGCCACAGAACACATGTGGAAACCAGAGGACAATTTTGTGGCGTCTGTTCTCTCTTTCAACCTTTACATATGCTTTTTGTATGCTGTTCCACACATACAAAAAAATGTAATTCAGAATTAAAATAACACTGGCTTTGTGTAGAAACGATCTTGATAACTTGAAAACACTTTGGGTCAATATTCAATAACTAATTTTAATATATGACTACTAAAAGAATATACTTGAAAAAGAAAAAAAAAGATGTAGTATGAATTTTTCTTTTTGTAATGTCTCTCAATGTAGCCCAGGTTTGCCTCCAACTCACATTCTTACTACCTCCAGAGAACTGGAATTAAAGGTATGAACCACTATACCAGGCTTAGTATGATTTTTTTCATTTTATTTCTTATGAAATTTTATTTTATAAATATTTGGCTTGAATGTATATCTGTGCTGAGAACTAGACCTAGGTCCTCTGGAAAAGCATCCAGTGCTCTTAGCTGCTGAGCCATCTCTCCAGCCCCAGTATTTTTTTTTTGGGGGGGGGGGGTGTCCTTACAGACAGGTTTCTCTCTGTAGCCCTGGCTGTCCTAGAACTCACTCTGTAGACCACATTGGCCTCAACCTCAGAGATCCATCTGCCTCTGTCTCCAGAGTGTTGGGATTAAAGGTGCGTGCCACCACCATCTGGCAGTGACCAACTTCTTTAGCTTACATTGTCGAATGATCTGAGTCTGCAAATAAACCCAGAATCCACGCAAATAAGCTAACCAACAAGCAAGGTTTGCCTGATCTTCCCAACCTGCATACAACAGTTCTTATAACTAAAAACTTTCTCCACTCTTGGCCATGTCCCTCCCCAGGCAAACCAAACTGCTATCCCCTCTCTTCCTTGGGATGTCCCTCTCCACCTACTGCGTCCACCTTGGGGACTAGGTCTTTCCAGCAGACCCTCTAGAGTTGCTCCAAGAAGGTTGAACCTTTCTGCCAGAACACCATTCTTGCCAGTCATAAACCACCTAAATACCAGACTGTTGACCTTTTCCTTCAGGCCATGGGACAGTCAGTGGTTAGCCAGTCTCACAAGAAACAAACACCAAGCAAGCCATCTCCTAAACAGAAATGTTTCTCACCCAAGAGTTTTTTCAGGCGAGGAGCATGGAGTCCATCTTGTTCATGACCACTTCTTAAACTATCCACCAGACAACCTCCCTTGCCCTTCTGATCCAGACATAGTGCTCAGTGCCAACAACATCTGTACAGGATAGGCTAAACCTTAAAACAAAACAGCACCACTTAGACCATGAGGCAAGCAGGCTGGCTTTCTTTCTTTCTAAACTAAGAATAAAAGAAATCCATAAATAAATTCTATATTTAGATACAGTTTGAAAAAACTGTATCTGATAATAATCAGCTAGGTATATATAATTCATAGAAGGCTATAATTTGGACCAATGGAAAAAAAAATGAAAGAAAAATGTCAAACTGTAGCAAGAAAAAAAAAAGAGTTGATAATAGAAAAAACATTCAATAAATGCTGTGGATTTCTGTGACGGTGCACAGAGGAAGCAACACATTTTCTTTATCTGGGTCCAGAATAAGCCATAGCACACTTGGAGGAGATGTAGGATGGCTAAGTGCCCACATTCAATGGGAAGTTAGAAAACAGCAGTCAGGTCAGGAATGAGTAGCTATCATGCTTCTAAGATTCCAACTTCCCTATAATCTGGCTGCTGTGGCTATGCAGAGCAACCCTTCCTAAGGAAGGGCTAAACAAAGTCAGGGCTCAGACAATTCTCCAAGGTGGTTCTGCTCCCATCAGTATCTTAAGTAAAGGTCCATGTGATAGTACTGCACAACAGCCAGTATTAACATGCTAGCTCTGACATCTGACATAGCATGTCTAGGATGATGAGGCTCTCAGCATTCAATCACTGCACATCATGCATGGGCACACAGTAGAAAACCCTGAACTAAAGTAGGCTGTTCTGTAACTTAAGTGCTAGGACACAATCACCACCACCACCCTACACCAAGACCACCAACAGCACAAATATCCTGGGAATGTAGCTGTGGTTCTGTAGGTGACTGCCCCCACCCACAGAACTCACCCTGGAAATCAGAGTCAAGACAAGCCCGGGGAAAAGACCTTTGGGATTCTACCCCAAAGTAGGAGAGTCCAGAGCAAGCCCTATACTATACTATTAAGGAAGGGAGGTAGCTTTAGGGGATACAGGGTAAACCAATCCTAAGGATCTAAAAGAAAACAGCCTTTCTACAGAAGTAGGAAGCTTGGACTGGCATCTCTGAGGCTCTTCTACAAAAACTGAGGGAGCAGTTGTGTGAGGACAATGATCCAGCCACACCTCACCAACTAAGACTGCAGCTTCAGCTCATGACAATGGTGCTCAGTGGTAAATTCAGCTAATCTCGATTTTTATCTAACATTTGATGGTCAGAACTTCCTAGAACTTTAGTGTACAAAGTACACAAAAGTTTTGAAATACCACTTTTCAAGGGTCAGGTAATTTCTGACGAATGGGGGGAAAAACGAAAAACAAAAAAACCAACAACCAAGATGACCATGTCATCTGATGGTTCAGAATTTAGTTCTAGATCTAATTCAGATCTAGTTTTTTATGGTGTGACCATAAAGGACCAGGACACTCTTATTTTGAGGAAGGGAACTACAAAGACTGATATGGACATGACCCAGCATGAGAGCCATATGAGGGCAAAGTTTGCACTGATGTTCTAAGATACATCCCTCTCAGTTCCAGAGCTGGGCTGTCAAGCACTGTCCACCAACGGTATCCACCCTAATATCACTACAACCAAAGCTCTGCTCAGATGCAGCTGACTGACCCCATGTTAACCTTCCATAATCAAGGAGCCAAAAACCCAAACCCTCTGTGCAGATAAGTGTAAGGTACCACCCTGCCATCGTGTTACTTTTAAATTTCAATACACCAAATGTTCTCTCTCTTTTCAAAGGTGAAACTTGAAAACAGGGTAAAAATACCATTTTTCTTCATTTATGGTCTTCAGTAATGTCCTAACCAGGTTGGGGAGACAGCTAAGTAGATAAAGCACTTGTCAAGCAGAGTTTGGATCCCCAGCAACGACATAAAAAGCTGAGCAGATGTGGTAGAAAACATGGAATCCCAACACTCAGAAGGCAGAGACAAGGGATCTCCAGCACAAGTTGCCAATCTAAACCAGCTGGAATTGGCAAGTTCAGCAAGAGACACTGTCTTTCTTTCTTTCTTTCTTTCTTTCTTTATTTATTTATTATGTATACAATATTCTGCAGGCCAGAAGAAGGCACCTCATTACAGATGGTTGTGAGCCACCATGTGGTTGCCGGGAATTGAACTCAGGACCTTTGGAAGAGCAGGCAATGCTCTTAACCACTGAGCCATCTCTCCAGCCCCAAGAGACACTGTCTTAACAATGACTGAGAAGACACCCATTAACTCTGAACCTCCTACACATGTACATGTACTCATTCATACACAAACAATTATACATACAAAATACATACAAAAATGTAAATGTCCTAAACCTATAAAGAACCTATATTCCAATACTACTTTGAAGTTGACTTTTGCTTTGTTGTTGCTGCTGTTATTGTCTGGCAATCCTAAAAGGCAAAAGTAGTTCTCTTGCATCAGCCTCCTGAATGCAGGGATTAGAGGCATATATCACAATATCGACACTTTTGTGCTGAAATTAAGTTATTTATGATCAGCAAACGTTTTCAGAGTATAAAAATATCAAACGGGGCTGGAGATATGGTTCAACGGATAAGAACACTGACTGCTCTTCCAGAGGACTCAGGTTCAATTCTCTGCACTGACATGGCAGTTCACAACCGTATATAACTCCAGTTCCAGGGGATCCGATACCCTCATATAGACATACATACAGGCAAAATATGAATGCAAATGAAATAAAAATAAATATTAAAAAAAATCAAACCAGCCAGATGGTGGTGGCTCACGCCTTTAATCCCAGCACTTGGGAGGCAGAGGCAGGTGGATCTCTGAGTTTGAGGTCAGTCTGGTCTACAGAGAAGAGTTTCAGGACTATTAGGGCTCAGAGAAACCTCGTCTCAAAAACAACAAACAAAAATAACAAATTGAAACCCCATTCACTAGAGGTATGGGGTACATTGGGGCAGGGCACATTTCAGAGTGGAGAAAGTTGTTAAGGGCTGACTCTCAGCCAGGTGA